CACAGCCTATGATTTATTTTTCTTTTTTGTAGCAGTTTTGCCTTCTCAGTTATGCCTCCCTTGAGCAAATTTAAAATATCTGTCTTCCAAAGAATACCCAGCAGGGGGAGGTTGTTGTGATGTGCAGAATAGGAGGAGAGAATAGACAGAGGATTTAAAGTGTCCTGGGGATAATCCTCAAAGTGGATAATAGTAATTGTTACAGCTCCCATTAATCTAATGCTTAACTACATCCACGCACTGTGCTGTGTGCTTTCCACATGTTTATTGAATCCTTACCACAACCATACGTCATGGGAACTACTATTGTTATCTCCTTTATATGTGAGAAAACTGAGGCCCAGAGATGGTAAGCCCTGGCCAAAGTCTCCCTCTCTCACCTGGTAAGTGGTGGAACAGTGTATCCGTCTGCCCTGGCTGCCAGTAACAAAATACCACAGACCAGGTGGCTTAAACCACAGGAATTTATTTTCTCACAGTTCTGGAAGCTAGAAGTCAAAAGTGCCATCAGCATTGGTTCCTGGTGAGGGCTCTCTTCCTGGCTTATAGACAGCCACTTTCTCACTGTGTCTACAAGTGGCCTTCTCTCTGTGTGCACATGGGGGGAGTCAGGAGGGGGGCTCAGATATCTGGTCTCTCTTCTTCTTATAAGGACACCAGTACTATCCTATTAGGGTCCCACTCTTAAGACCTCATTTAACTTTAATTACCTCCTTAACAACCCTATCTCTGAATACAGTCACATCGAGGGCTAGGGCTTCAACATATGAATTTGGGGGAGGACACAATTCATTTCACAGCAAACAGGCATTTGACTCTTAAGCCTGGTCGCCTAGCCACTCAACAGCTGATGCGGAGGGAGATGCCTGCCAGACTCTGCTCTCCTGTCTTTTTATATAAAGACAACAGTGACAGTACAAGTGTCCCCTACCTAACCTGCTGTCACCTTTCCTGGTGAGCAATCCACAGCCTGGCAGGCCAGTCTCAATGGAACCCTCAGTTCCTCTCACATGGGCCCACCAGCTCCAACAAGTCATTTTGCCAGCTCCAGATTAGGGTGTGCAGTGATTGCTGCAAAATAGCAGCAATTAGCTGTGGCACCAAAGGAAGGGGGTGGGGGAAGGGTCTTTTCAGCAAAATGAAGAGGCAATTAGTGGACAAGAAAGGAGACAAATGCTGGCCTGTTTCTTCCTTCCTCAATCATCGGAGTTGTTTCCAGCCCTTAAAGCATCCTTGTCACCAGGAGACGGACAGTCATCTCCTGACAGGCCATGTCTGTCAGTATCAGTCTGGAGCCAAAGAAAAGCTCTGGTCTCACAGCCAGAAGATCCTGGTGCCAGCTCTACTCTGCCTGGACTCCCTGTTTGTACCCAGGTGAGTCTCTTCCCATTCTGGACTGTTTCCCTATGCGTAAAAATAAGGGATTCAATTAGATTATTATCTCTCAAATGCAAGTTGCAAGTCAGTTGAGGATTATGAAATAAATGTAGTGGGTTAAGACTAGCAGCAAAAACTAATAATAAAACATCGGATAGAACCAAATATATCAGAATGCATCATACTAATGGCAAATACTGTTTTTGTTAAACTTTTTCCCCATTGAAATGTGTGTATGTATATGTAAGGGTGTATGTGTATGGGAGTGGGTGAATGTGTGTGACACATTGGGTTACAATGTAAAAAGTATTTCTTACTGTGAGTGTGGTTCAAAAAGTTTGAGAGTCACTGCCCTAACTGATCCCCAAGGGTCCGTTCCTGAGAGGGTCTGTTACTGTGCTGTGATTCAAGAATCTGCTTCCATGACACTGGGTCACTTTCCCCATCACTGGAGCAAACTGGTCTA